TACCGTTAATTAAGATTTAAAACATTTTTGTTCAAAATAACATATGATAGTAAATTCTTAAATAAAATTAAGTAAAAATAAAAAAAACCTAGAAATTAATAACATTTTTTCATATGAAGAAAATCAAATTGTACCCGTAAAAATAAAAATAAAATATATCATAAAGTGACATCTTCACTTGGTACCTCAATTATGTTTTAATCGATTTGTGATTTTTATTTCTTTTTAAAGCTTTTCTGATTTCTGATTTTTTTTACCAATTTGATTTTGTTTCTAATTCTTGGTCTGATATGAAAAATTTATAAAAATGTTAATAGTTGACTAAATTAAAGATCCGACTTTACGTGTGGTGTTTTTCATCTTTGCTTCTTTAATTCTTAATCAGTCACCTTATTTGTTGTTATTGTGTACCGAAGCCTCAACCATGACCAACTTCGGCAAGGTACGAAAGTTTCAATATCTAAAAACATTCATCGCAACACTTTAGTTGATGCGAATTTTAATGATTTTTTATTTTTTTTATAATAAAGATAGTAATCATTAGTTTCACGTAGAAAATTTTAATTTATTAATACAAAAACTAAAAATGTAAGAAAAATAAATTAATTAAAAAATAGTGTATAAATACATTAAATAATGAATTTAAAGAATTAGTGTGTAAACGCATTTATTGTCAAATGATTGTGAAGTCGACACCTGTCAATTATGGTGTGAACGCATTTATTACAATGGTTCTCTTTTACTATATAAGGGATATATTGATAATTAAAAATTTAGTAACTATTACCTATANCAATTATGGTGTGAACGCATTTATTACAATGGTTCTCTTTTACTATATAAGGGATATATTGATAATTAAAAATTTAGTAACTATTACCTATATAATTAAATTGGTGTAAACATATAAATATATTTTTACTAATTTAAACTGATTTTTGTTTTCTATTTTATATGATATACAATTAAGTTTAAATGTATTATCGTAGTAAAATAATACATTTTAATATTGATATCGGTTATATTATAGTTTATACTCATATTTTTTTTATTCACTCTTATATTTTTATTACAAAAAATTTAAATCACTGATAACAATTTTTTTTGTGTGGGATGTTTATCATTTTTATTAATTTATAATTTTAAAACATTATGCAAAGTTTAAAACTAAATATTAAGTTGTCAATATTTGTTCAAAAGTTTTATCAAAAAAAATCAAAGCAAAGTAGAATTAAGATACATATATATTTTTATATGGTACATAATTTATTTTGAACAATATATATATATATATTAAATGAGACTTTTTACTTATATAATTTTTAATCATTTCTATTTTCTATAAAGTTTAACCATGGATCACAAAAATTTTAATGTGAGAATTTTTAACAACTTTAGTCATTTATTGTCATTTTAAGAAATTCAAAGTATAGCAAATACGAAAAAATCTAAATTTTTATTATATAGTTAACATAGTTGTTTAATTTATTTTAATAAGTTCAAATTTTAAAGTTACACTAATTTTTATCAAATCTTTATTATTGAAAATCATTAATTGTCATATATTCTTTAACCATATTTCGCGATTCCGTTACTTTTATTTAAGAAAACAATGAAAAAAATATTTTTTTTCTATTTTATATGATATATAAAAAAGTTTAAATGATATTAT